TCGACAAAATCCAAATATTGCCGAAAAAATATGGCCGTGAAAGTTATGACGATATAATCGCCACAACGTAAATCAAATTTTAATATAATATAAAATCTTTGTAATAAGAAAAAATAACTTCAAAAAAATATCAAGCATTTGTAAGATATTAAACAGTAAGTATAAATTTAAAAACAAGTATATAATATTTATATATAATATTAATTATTGTGCATTAGCGTCCGATTTTCTAATCTATAAATTTTCTACAAATTTAATATTTAATAAATACTGTTTTTTAAACAGTGAATACCTATAATTTTAACTTGAATATCTCAAAATATTAAATATGTATTAAAATATATAAACAATATTAATGAGAAATTTATACTCTAAAAAAATTTTTGCTTTCATACTTATTGATTAATATCTTATGGTGTTCAAAATTACCGCTACTGATTGAATTTCGTTTGCCCTGCACTGCTTGCACTGAAAATAATTCCCCATGCAGCGTAATTTGCGTAAGCGTAAACTGCGTTAACCAATCAAATCATCTAATAAGAATCTAAACGGATTTGTATAGAGTAGCTGAGATAATTTGGTTAGATGACGCAGCTTACGCTGCAAGTTAGGGAACCGTTCCATGGAGCGTATCGCGTGTATCGAAAATCTGACCAATCGCGAAATTTACAATAATGGATTCGGCGAAACGACTGCGTATCGAAAATAGTGGAACGTCCACAATTGGTCAGATACGCGATCTGCGATACGCGCAATACGTTCCATAAGACGACATCTCTACGCTACATGAGGAACCAGCCTCATTCTAAACCCGATGCAGTTCAGTGAACTTATACACTAAGTTCCGTTGCACTGGAATAACGAACAGTTAACGTCATTTCGAGAATAGAAAATGCTTTAGTGTACACTTCTTGCACTAGTTCAGGAAGTTCAGAGCATCGATCACGTAAGTTTTCCCCTAGAACGAATCAGTGAGAAGTGACGAGTCTCATGTGGATTTCATCATTTTGTGATCACGTAATTTTAATTCCGGTGAAAGCATGAAATATTTAGCGTGAAATTTTTCACCATCAGCTAACATAAGTTAAACGGAGAAAATCTAATGTTTCTTAACCTACACGGCATATTAATTGGTAAAAATGGCCGCCGTTTTTTGGGTTTTAAATTTGGCAATAGAAGGTTTTAATTTTAATTTTTAATAACTATGTATTCCGTTGTAGATAAATATTCAAATTTTTTACGAAGATAAATTGCTAGAATTACTGCGTTAGGTTTTATAAATCAGAGACATTTGTTTGCTCTTTCACCTCGAAAATTGTTCAGCAATTCACATTTTCTGCTTGTAACGGCAGGGCCGTTACGAGCACACATACATATATACATATATATACATATATACATACATATACATATACATAAATATATACAAACACTGGGCTCACTATCCTGCACTACCCATCCCGCTTGCACGTACACCACTCGCGCTATCGCATTCGCTTGCCTGTAGGGCGCACGCGCCGTCTCGCTCACGCTATCTCGCTCGCGGTGTCCCCACGCGATATCGACTCCCCGCCACCGGACCGACAGCACGCAGTGGGGAACGCCGGCCGAGTATATAAGCCGGCCGGCCGAGACATCGAGACCAGATCCTATCCTGCGATCCGACTCCTGCTACCGACTTAACCAGTACCTACTACCTCTCGGGGCCAAGGTTTCACTTGGCTCTGCCGGGTTTCACCGGCTTTCTCTACCTTCGGGCTGAGGTTTCACTCAGCTCTGTCGGGTTTCACTGACTCCTGTCACCGCTCCACGGGCTGTCGGGTTTCGCCGACTCCTGTCACCGCTCCACGGGCTGAGGTTTCACTCAGCTCTGTCGGGTTTCGCCGATTCCTGTCACCACTCCACGGGCTGAGGTTTCACTCAGCTCTGTCAGGTTTCACCGACTCCTGTCACCGCTCCATGGGCTG